GAAGGCGCAAGGAACATAAGGAGTCAGCAGGCCGTTGAGTCGCTTCGCCAATCTGTACGTGGGTGTGGGTATCTGGCTAATGATTGGCCGAAGTGGGTTTCCAGGCTTGTGCGTCTTGACATTTCCATACGCATATCCAGGTTTATATTCCCCAATGATCTTTGGCAGGTGGAGTCCGGATTTCTTGGCGTTCACAGTTTCGATCAGTTTGTTGACCTTTGCTTTTAATTCGGCTGTAGTGTCCTTCGTTACCCTTTGGAACTTAGTTTGGTCAGAGAGTATGATGTTCATTTTCGCCAGATATTCGTCTTTTTTAAGAATGACATATATTGGCGACTTGTCACCTCTCCTGACAACTATCTCCTTGTTCTCACGAAGGCTTTTAGCTGCCGCTCTAAGCTCGGGGGACAGTATGGTGCTTCTGTAGTTGCCTCGATTCTTTCCTCCTTCTGCAATAAGTTCTGCTTGTAAGGTATCTTTGGTAGTGACCTTCTTTTGTGTCTCGAGGTCGAATATGTCGTCCAACAGAATTTCCAACTCCACTTTCCGGGCCATTTCACTCGGTCTGGACATAACATGACAGTTTATGCCCAGATTTAGGAGAGTGACTTGGTCCTCAGTGAGGTTAATTCCTGCAAGGTTCAGGAAGCCATCTCTTGGTCGTGGAATTGCCATAGGTCCTCCATATAATGTTGTTAGTTTCTTGATAATCCTTGTTTCAGTGCTGAGGTGATGTTGGTCTGTGAGGATGTCGAGGTGTTGTTCAATGCGGGTACGGATACTATGGTCGATGTTGCTATTTCTCCACTCGTTTGTAGCATGAAGTAGTTGCGTTTTTTTGTCTTTGATTTCATTCTCTGCCTTGTATATCTGATCACGAATCAGATCCTGGCGATATTTTATCGTGAAGGCTTGATTCCTTGCTGCTGGGTCGTGCACTTTAACATTAGTATATTTTGGTAGCAGTCTTTCCTGTAGACATATTTTATTAAATATGACCGAAAAAGTAAGATTAATAATTCTAACACGAATTTTCTCAATCTTTCGTACATTATGCTTCACTGTTGGAGGTAAATCAAAAATCACTTCTCCAAAATTCATTTTTATTTCTAGTCTGACGCGACACGGGCGCGTTTCGTAAAACTTATTACATTTTCAAAGACTTCACAAATACACAACTGATTAGAACTTGCGTTTCCCTGATTTTATATCTACATTTGAGTGAGGTGGGAAGGGTGATGTGGCATTACATTTGAGTAAGGTGGGAAGGATGATGTGGCATTAGAGGATATTAATAGGGTATTAAAAGTATCAACACAAGACAGAACACGAAACAATGGATATTGAATAGAAGTGTTTGTAGAAAGCCTATTGGTCCATATTTCTTGATGCTTCTATATTGGAGCGGAGTCTTGAGGTGGGTAGAATATAGTTGTGCAATAATTGGCTGTTGATTGCTGGTGTTGACTTCTTGATGTGTAGTGCCTCGCAAACGTCGAGCCGCCTGCTATCGCTGTATCTATCGATGATTTCTGTGTTGTTTACTAGGATTTCTCTGGCGATGGTTTGGTTATGGGAAGAGATTATATGTTCCTTAATGGAGCCCTGTTGTTTATGCATCGTTAAACGCCTAGAAAGAGATGTTGTTGTCTTGCCTATATACTGGGTTTTTTGGAGCTTACAGTCCCCAAGTGGGCATTTGAAGGCATAGACGACGTTAGTCTCTTTTAAAGCGTTCTGTTTCGTGTCTGGAGAGTTTCTCATGAGTAGGCTGGCCGTTTTTCTGGTTTTATAGTAAATCGTCAGTTGTATCCTCTGATTTTTGTCTGTAGGGATAACGTTTCTATTAACAATATCTTTCAGGACCCTTTCCTCTGTTTTATGAGCTGTGGAAAAGAAGTTCCTGTAAAATAGTCTAATAGGGGGTATAGGTGTTGTGTTAGTTGTCTCTTCGGAGGTTGCATGGCTTTTCACTTTCCTTCTTATGATGTCTTCGATGAAACCATTGGAGAAGCCGTTATTGACTAGAACCTGCCTTACCCTACAGAGTTCTTCGTCGACTTGCTTCCATTCTGAGCTGTGGCTGAGAGCACGGTCGACGTATGCGTTAACAACACTCCTCTTGTACTTATTGCAGAAGGAGGAAAGAATCGAGGCAACTACAGAAGCACCATACTGTCCCCCGAGCTTAGAGCGGCAGCTAAAAGCCTTCGTGAGAACAAGGAGATAGTTGTCAGGAGAGGTGACAAGTCGCCAATATATGTCATTCTTAAAAAAGACGAATATCTGGCGAAAATGAACATCATACTCTCTGACCAAACTAAGTTCCAAAGGGTAACGAAGGACACTACAGCCGAATTAAAAGCAAAGGTCAACAAACTGATCGAAACTGTGAACGCCAAGAAATCCGGACTCCACCTGCCAAAGATCATTGGGGAATATAAACCTGGATATGCGTATGGAAATGTCAAGACGCACAAGCCTGGAAACCCACTTCGGCCAATCATTAGCCAGATACCCACACCCACGTACAGATTGGCGAAGCGACTCAACGGCCTGCTGACTCCTTATGTTCCTTGCGCCTTCAGCCTGAAGTCTCCAAAGGAATTTGTGGACTTACTGCGGGGCGCACGGGCCACAGGGATAAGAGCCTCGTTGGACGTAGAATCGCTGTTTACCAACGTACCTGTGGACGAGACAATCGGAATGATAGCCGACAGAGTGTATCGTGATCCAGCCTGTACTCCTCTTGACATGCCAGAAAGTATTCTGAGGAAACTACTCCAAGCTTGTACTAAAGAGGCACCCTTCTTGAGCCCGGATGGGCACATGTATAAGCAAGTAGATGGGGTCGCTATGGGTTCTCCCCTAGGTGTCCTGTTTGCAAACTTCTACATGGGTACCATCGAGCAAAAAGTCTTAGTCGACATGAACTTGAAACCGGCCATATACTGCAGGTATGTTGACGACATTTTTACACAGGTACCTGATGTCAGACATCTGCAGGAGCTGAAGGAGGCATTTGAGCAGAGTTCCGTGCTGCGTTTCACTTACGAGACGGAAAAGGATGGGAAGCTGCCTTTTCTAGATGTAACAGTCATGGAAAAGGGCGGAGGTTTCCACACTGCAGTCTACACAAAGGAAACAAACATAGGAATGTGCCTAAATGCCAACAGCGACTGCCCTGACAGGTACAAGAGGAGTGTTGTTAACGCATACGTCGACCGTGCTCTCAGCCACAGCTCAGAATGGAAGCAAGTCGACGAAGAACTCTGTAGGGTAAGGCAGGTTCTAGTCAATAACGGCTTCTCCAATGGTTTCATCGAAGACATCATAAGAAGGAAAGTGAAAAGCCATGCAACCTCCGAAGAGACAACTAACACAACACCTATACCCCCTATTAGACTATTTTACAGGAACTTCTTTTCCACAGCTCATAAAACAGAGGAAAGGGTCCTGAAAGATATTGTTAATAGAAACGTTATCCCTACAGACAAAAATCAGAGGATACAACTGACGATTTACTATAAAACCAGAAAAACGGCCAGCCTACTCATGAGAAACTCTCCAGACACGAAACAGAACGCTTTAAAAGAGACTAACGTCGTCTATGCCTTCAAATGCCCACTTGGGGACTGTAAGCTCCAAAAAACCCAGTATATAGGCAAGACAACAACATCTCTTTCTAGGCGTTTAACGATGCATAAACAACAGGGCTCCATTAAGGAACATATAATCTCTTCCCATAACCAAACCATCGCCAGAGAAATCCTAGTAAACAACACAGAATCATCGATAGATACAGCGATAGCAGGCGGCTCGACGTTTGCGAGGCACTACACATCAAGAAGTCAACACCAGCAATCAACAGCCAATTATTGCACAACTATATTCTACCCACCTCAAGACTCCGCTCCAATATAGAAGCATCAAGAAATATGGACCAATAGGCTTTCTACAAACACTTCTATTCAATATCCATTGTTTCGTGTTCTGTCTTGTGTTGATACTTTTAATACCCTATTAATATCCTCTAATGCCACATCATCCTTCCCACCTTACTCAAATGTAATGCCACATCACCCTTCCCACCTCACTCAAATGTAGATATAAAATCAGGGAAACGCAAGTTCTAATCAGTTGTGTATTTGTGAAGTCTTTGAAAATGTAATAAGTTTTACGAAACGCGCCCGTGTCGCGTCAGACTAGAAATAAAAATGAATTTTGGAGAAGTGATTTTTGATTTACCTCCAACAGTGAAGCATAATGTACGAAAGATTGAGAAAATTCGTGTTAGAATTATTAATCTTACTTTTTCGGTCATATTTAATAAAATATGTCTACAGGAAAGACTGCTACCAAAATATACTAATATATATATATATATATATATATATATATATATATATATATATATATATATATATATATACCAGCAATTCATGATCTTAATATAATACTGTTAATTGGATAAACCAATTTGGAAAGAAATGTTCGAAAATAACAAAATTAACTGTGCTTGTTAGGAAAATTGGGCCTTGCATACTTGTCCCAATAGTGTGGTTCTCGCTTTTAGGTACGACATAACGTATACCTAAGTTGAGAGAGAAAAAGATTCTCACTCAAACATGCATATCGATTGCCAGTCCCTGAATTCTGGGTAGATATTCGTGTCCTCCCTTTTCATTTACCATCATTTGGATACTATCAAAACAGCTCCGAGAAGGATAAAATGAATAAACGGGTAGCTCACTCATGTAAAAAGGAAGAGTTGGGAAAGATCTCTCTCTCTCTCTCTCTCTCCCCCTCACCCCCCCCCCCCCCAATGATCCTGCTCTGCTAGTATATAACGTAACAAACCTTCCACCCCCCCCCCCCTCCCTCCCCAATCAGAGTCCCTTTAAGCATGCGAGGATAAAAAATAGATTTCATAAGACCCAATGTGCTAGCTGATATCAAAACAATTTATGTTATCGTCTATTAAGCCCTTCAGTAAAAAGTATAGGGACCTAATTAGGTCCCGTTTTGAGGTGGTGGTGGGTGGAATCGATGGATTAGCCAAGCTCTTATCCGCCGAATCCGTAGAGGGTACGACCCTGGCGCTTCAGAGCGTACACCACGTCCATGGCAGTGACGGTCTTCCTCTTGGCGTGTTCCGTGTAGGTTACAGCATCACGGATGACGTTCTCGAGGAACACCTTCAGGACGCCACGGGTCTCTTCGTAGATGAGACCCGAAATACGCTTGACGCCGCCACGACGAGCTAAGCGACGAATAGCGGGCTTGGTGATGCCCTGGATGTTGTCACGTAGCACCTTACGATGACGCTTGGCGCCACCCTTTCCGAGTCCCTTGCCGCGTCCAGTCATGGTGTTGTAGTTGTGTGAATCGAATTGACGAATGCCAGAATCAGAATCAGAATAATACAGGAGAAGATGCCCATAGGGGCGAGCTTGGAAGTGGGGACAGAAGAAGATAAGGGGGGGTGAGAGGAAGAAGATTTGTAAGAGAAAAAGTGTCAGGGCTAAACCCAGCTGCGTGTCGTTAGGTTGCGGCTTTCGAGGCAGGGACTCAGTCGGGTGTTTTCAGTGACAACATCGGGACATCACAAACTCACAACATCACAGTGATTGGCTCAAGAGCGTCAGGGCTGAACTTTTTTACGGATTGTTTGTGCTGGTTGTTGAGAGCTGAATATGTAATGATAGTGGATGCTGGGTGTTGAGAGCTAAAGTTTAACGAAATACAGAGTTAGGAAGAGGATCATGGATGGTAGAGAAGAGGTCATGGTTGTTTCGTGGTAGTCTGAGAGTGTGTAGGAGAAAATCAATGTGTTGTTCATGATGAGTGAGTAGTCTATCGATTTGTTTGTCTGATAGAGTTTTCCAGTAGGTATTTAGGGCAGGAATGTTAGTACTTTCATGGAGACTTTGACTGGTATTTAACTCTTGCCATCGGGTGTTGAGTACCCATCTTAGTGCTCTGTTCTGTATTCTTTGAAGTTTTATTTTGTTAGTGCGTGCAGATAGAGAAAGAGCTAGTGGAGCGTATGTTAGGAGAGGTCCAATAAGTGCTTTGTAAAGGTGCATTTTTGTGTCAGGTTTTGCAAATCTAAGTCTGTATAGTTTCTTCATGGATGAAGAGCTATTGCATGTTTCTGTGTTATGTGTGTGTGAAAGAGTAGTTGTCGATCAAATGTGAGTCCCAGGACTGTGGAGGAGGGAGATACAGAGATATAAGTAGGATTTTGAGTGTATGAATAGAGTTTGAGAGGAATTGGGCGAATAGTTCTTTTACAGAAAAAGTAGGTGATTTTAGATTTGCTGGAGTTGGTTTTTATACGCCATTTGTACTCCCACTCAGTGACAACATCAAGTTCTGTTTGTGCTCTGTTTGTTAGTGTATCAATGGTGTTGCTGGTGACAAGGTGAGAGACATCATCAGCATAACATATGGTTAATGAAGTGTGATGAACAGGGTCAGGAATGTCGTTTATGTATAGGATGTAGAGTGTTGGGGCAAGAACAGAACCTTGGGGAACACCGGCGTGTAAGTTGAAGTAGTCAGAGTGTTGTTGGAGGAACTTAATTCTCATTGTCCTATTGTCTAAGTAGTTCGAGAGAAGTTTGGTGGTGATAAGAGGAAGATTAAAGTTGTTGCATAGTTTGAATTTTAAGCCGTCATGCCAAACAGTGTCAAAGGCCTTCTCAACGTCCTTAGTGATGAGTGCAGTCTTAAGTCTTTGGTGCTGATTGATACTGAGGTAGTTAGTCATGATGTTTAAGGCGTCGTGGGTGGACCGGTGAGGCCGAAATCCAAACTGTTTGTTAGTGAGTAAGTCATTGTGTTCAAGGTGGGTTCTAAGTCTCTGGTTGATCAGCATTTCAAAGACTTTGCCAAGTGTCTCTAGAAGGCTGATGGGTCTATAGTTCTTTGGGTCAGTGTGGGGTTTCCCAGGTTTTGGAATAAGAACGGCTGTGGCAGACTTAAAGTTGAGTGGAAAGTATCCAGACGCAAGGGAGGCGTTGAATAGGTTAGTGATAGCAGTAATGATAGAAGCAGGGAGTTGTCTAAGAAGGATATGTCCAATGCCAGACGCACCAGGGGCTCTACGACGAGTGCCCATGAGAGCTGTCTTGACATCAGCTAGAGTTAGGGGAGTCTGTAGTTCAGTGTTTGAATTGAGATTTTCAACAGTGATGGGCTGTTCGGCGATGATGGCACTCACTCTGTGGATGAATATTGTTCTTACAGCCTGGAACTGGAGGGGAGGCAGGAGTGTTAGCCCCTTTGCCTCGAGTGCAGTGGTCAATGTTGTGGTGAAAAGGGCTTCTAGTGCAGCTGCACTACTGAAGAGAATTTGGGGTCCCTTAACGTCCATAACGAAGTCGATGGGTGCTACCCCAGAGGTAGAGGTCAATAGGTCCATGATCTCGGCCTTGTTAAAAGTGGTGTCGGTTCCTCGGAACCGCACCTTCACTCTGAAAAGCATGATGCCTATGCAGGCACCACGCTAGAACTCAGGAGGGAAGCGCTCACGTTGCTGCTCAATATTTATCCACCCGGCAGTGCTAGGTGCAAGCTTCCTCTCCTGCTTGAGTTATGAAGGAATCAGAATCAGAATAATACAGGAGAAGATGCCCATGGGGGCGAGCTTGGAAGTGGGGACAGAAGAAGATAAGGGGGGGTGAGAGGAAGAAGATTGTAAGAGAAAAAGTGCCAGGGCTAAACCCAGCTGCGTGTCGTTAGGTTGCGGCTTTCGAGGCAGGAACTCAGTCGGGTGTTTTCAGTGACAACATCGGGACAATCACAAACTCACAACATCACAGTGATTGCTCAAAGCGTCAGGGCTGAACTTTTTACGGATTGTTGTGCTGGTTGTTGGAGAGCTGAATATGTAATGATAGTGGATGCTGGGTGTTGAGAGCTAAAGTTTAACGAAATACAGAGTTAGGAAGAGGATCATGGATGGTAGAGAGGGTCATGATTGTTCGTGGTAGTCTGAGAGTGTGTAGGAGAAATCAATGTGTTGTTCATGATGAGTGAGTAGTCTATCGATTGTTTGTCTGATAGAGTTTTCCAGTAGGTATTTAGGGCAGGAATGTTAGTACTTTCATGGAGACTTTGACTAGTATTTAACTCTTGCCATCGGGTGTTGAGTACCCATCTTAGGCTCTATTCTGTATTCTTTGAAGTTTTATTTTGTTAGTACGTGCAGATAGAGAAAGAGCTAGTGGAGCGTATGTTAGGAGAGGTCTAATAAGTGCTTGTAAAGGTGCATTTTTGTGTCAGGTTTTGCAAATCTAAGTCTGTATAGTTTCTTCATGGCTTGAAGAGCTATTGCATGTTTCTGTGTTATGTGGTGTGAAAGAGTAGTTGTCGATCAAATGTGAGTCCCAGGACTGTGGAGGAGGGAGATACAGAGATATAAGTAGGATTTTGAGTGTATGAATAGAGTTTGAGAGGAATTGGGCGAGTTCTTTTACAGAAAAAGTAGGTGATTTTAGATTTGGAGTTGGTTTTTATACGCCATTTGTACTCCCACTCAGTGACAACATCAAGTTCTGTTTGTGCTCTGTTTGTTAGTGTATCAATGGTGTTGCTGGTGACAAGGTGAGAGACATCATCAGCATAACATATGGTTAATGAAGTGTGATGAACAGGGCAGGAATGTCGTTTATGTATAGGATGTAGAGTGTTGGGGCAAGAACAGAACCTTGGGAACACCGGCGTGTAAGTTGAAGTAGTCAGAGTGTTGTTGGAGGAACTAATTCTCATTGTCCTATGTCTAAGTAGTTCGAAAGAAGTTTGGTGGTGATAAGAGGAAGATTAAAGTTGTTGCATAGTTTGAATTTTAAGCCGTCATGCCAAACAGTGTCAAAGGCCTTCTCAACGTCCTTAGTGATGAGTGCAGTCTTAAGTCTTGGGTGCTGTTGATACTGAGGTAGTTAGTCATGATGGTTTAAGGCGTCGTGAGTGGACCGGTGAGGGCCGAAATCCAAACTGTTTGTTAGTGAGTAAGTCATTGTGTCAAGGTGGGTTCTAAGTCTCTGGTTGATCAGCCTTTCAAAGACTTTGCCAAGTGTCTCTAGAAGGCTGATGGGTCTATAGTTCTTTGGGTCAGTGTGGGTTCCCAGGTTTTGGAATAAGAAGGCTGTGGCAGACTTAAAGTTGAGTGGAAAAGTATCCAGAGGCAAGGGAGGCGTTGAATAGGTTAGTGATAGCAGTAATGATAGAAGCAGGGAGTGTCTAAGAAGGATATGTCCAATGCCAGACGCACCAGGGGCTCTACGACGAGTGCCCATGAGAGCTGTCTTGACATCAGCTAGAGTTAGGGGAGTCTGTAGTTCAGTGTTTGAATTGAGATTTTCAAGGTGAATGAGGTCGTCTGGTGTAGTTGCTTGTCTATTTTGGTGTATCCGTCTTCGACTATTTCAATGTTGGGGCGTGCAAATGGTTCAGGAGGATGTGGGTGAAAGATTTGTTCCCAGTGGTGTTTAAAAAATGTTGAGAACTGCTTCAGGATCAGTGATTTTGTTGTTATTATGTAGAAGGTATTTAAACGTGTGTGAGTTGATCCTTGTAATCGTTTGATTCGTTCCAGAATTCTTGAGGTGTCAGTTTTCTGTATTGTTCTGCTTGTTCTATAAGGTGTTTCCAATGTTTTGTGTGATCTTCATCTAGGCTGTTAAGGGCAAAAAGGTCGTCTTCAGAGGCAATGAGAAATTTGATGGTGTTTGTGTTGGCGTGTTTGATATGGTTAGTGGCTGGTGTGCCAGTGGCATTGTAGAAGGTAGTGATGCAGTCAATAGTGTCTATGGGTGTATTCCCAGTGTAGGTCATCCGTAGACAGTGAGCCATTGTGACTCACTATCTAGTGACAGTCCCGTGTCTTGTGCCAATCACTGTGATTCCATAAGCTCAGTGGGGGTCAGTGTGTAGGCCAGGTCTAAGACCTGGCCTAAGGGTCTCACCACGAACAAACACCGTGTTCCGGAAGGTTGCACCCCCAGTTATGGTGGGCTCGCACGATCACGAGATTCCACAACTGGCTCGGCAGTGTCAGAAACGGAAGAATTTTAGGAGAGGAGAAAAAGAATGCACCTATGCCATGACGCAACTGCAAAAGGTGAACTTCCGTCTTCTCACCTGGGCCTGTTCTGGCTCGAAGTGGGGCTGTTCACCTAAATGCAGTCCGACCTGGACACAAGCACATTGGACAACACACAGAAGATGCCACGAGGAAGATATCACTGCTTAGGACTAGATGCTGGCTGGGAAGCGCCTGGTTCTGCTCCAATAACTGCTGGCTGGAACTGGTTTTTGGCTGCACCGAAGTGCTCGTCGAGGCTGGAGATAACAGCTGCTG